AAGACCCTTTTTTAAGGACGCTCTATTCGAAAATGACGCCAAATCCCATAATTTCTCAAATTTATTTTTTGTGACGTCACACTTTAGGACTCTATATAGCAAAAATATGGCTTTCCTGTTTTTTTTTTATGGGCTGTGTAAGGTTCGCATGGTATTGTGGTAAAATGTACAGCCGTCATGTTTTTTCCTACGGTGATTGGCCAATTATAATGGAGGTTGTTTGTCACGTGACAATTTTAAATCATGCCCGGGAAGATCTGGGACGATCAAACAGATTTGAACGAATTTCGACTTTTTATGGCCATCGTTACCAATTCTATTCTAAAATTTGCTGTTTTTTCGGAAAGAAACTCAATCTAAAGGGCTATTGTTATCTTTTAACGCATAATGGCAGCTTCAGGTTGTGAAGGTAAGTTTATTCAAGCTTTTTGTGCTGTGTTTCATTCGAGTAAAGTTCATGTACATAAGACTCTGGCCGTGATTTCTCATGTTTCTTCTTCTTCTTCTTCGAGAGAGACAGAGTTGCTACTTTGTCGTGTTTTGATAGACTTAGTTTCGACAGCTCGGTAAGCTTTGAATTGAATTTTGTGTATTTTCATCCATGTGTAGCGTTTCCATCTAGCGGGTCCGGTTTGATAGAAGACGAGAAATTCGACTTTGACATACCAGTCTCTCCGAATGATTGTGGCGAGAGGTAAGTGAATTTTCTATTCAACACAAGCAGTTAAATTGTACATACATAAGCTTAAGCTTCTTTTCCATTGTATGCCGATGTACACTAACCCTATTCAAGTTCAAATCCATTTGAGTGAAATACAGTAAAACTGTTCCTTTACAGTTCAATGCAATTTTATCTGAGGTGGAGCTAGGGGAAACATTTAAATTATAGGGAAACAAAATTAACTGTTTTGCTAAGGACCTGTCATCTAGTGCAGTGTGTAAATATTGCATACAGTGCATAGTGAAATGTTTGGAGTTCTGAGTAGGGAAGCTTTGTTCTTGAAGCTCAAGGTTACAGTAACTGAATGCATTGCAATGCATGGTAACCTTTCTTTGTTATTCTTTACCAGAGAGATCTGCAGCAATGATTTAGAGGATGAAGATGAGGTATTCTTTGGCCCAGTCGGCCACAGAGAAAGATGTGTTAACAGTGGTCTCCTAAGTGACGAGAATTTCAAACCTATGAGTCCACTCAACAGTGAACAAATTGCTGAACTTTTTAAGGAAGCAACTGCAGTATCAATATTTATCAAAAGCTCCTCTTTGAATCAGAGTCTTGGAAGTGAAGACATGATGACTGATCAAAGGGAAAACAAGGAAATTTGCAAAATTTTATCAAAAACATTCAGTGTTGATGAAGATCAGGAGAACACGTTAATGAAACCAGGTCAAGAAAATGGCCCAAGAACTGCAAAATCAGAATCTTCTCCCGAGTCAGTAGACAGCATTTCACCACAGCCAGCAGAATTGTCAGATGACATGGTTATTCCAAGCACGCCAAGACGCATCTTGCAAGAGAAGAATTCCCAGGATGCAGGGTTTCAATCACCATTCAAAGCAAGAAAAGCACGCCCACTGCAGAATGTTTCCAAGTTTACACGTTCCAAGCTTCCTAAGACACAAATGACATTGAAGACGCGTAGCTGTTTTAATTCTGTAAGTATAGCTGAAGAAAAACGGACAAATTATAAAATAATGGTACTAGCTAAGCTGTGTTCTATTGGAAATCCATGAAACTTATTGGTTCTCTATTTCATTGTCTATTCGCTGATAGACCATCGGGAGCACATTGCTCTTAAGACTGAAAATTATCCTCAATCCTAAGTTTAAATATATACTGTCTTGTAGAGTAATATATAGTAGTATGTAGCGGTGGCTTGTCGTGTGCATTTACCTGAAACCTGTAGAACTTGCCTTCTGGTTGCTATAATTCTGATAGTTCAAAAAGTCATTTTGCATTAAGTCATGTTTAACTTTGTGATCACTGTTTGTACCTATCCTTGTATTTTGAGAGGCCTTATTCTGTAAAAGAAGTAGAAAGCAAGTGCTTGATGTTTACAACACATGCATGTAGCAGGGTGCATTTTTGGACATGACCTTTGGGTGGGCTTTAAACAAGTCTAAAAGTCATTCTCAACAGCCTCCATACATTACTTGAGTGTGCAATAGGCCAATTTCGATATATTTGTATTAACATCCCTAAACCTGGATGTGATTTCTTTTGTGTTATTCCCAAAAGCCTCGGAGCCAAGTTTGAATTTAAATATATTGAAATTGGCCCATTTATTTGAATTTCCTTAAACATTTTCCCAAGAAACTTCACTTGCTTGTATTGTAAGTGAAGACAGAATCCACTCGCCTGACTGCAAAATTTCCGTAGCTTGCATCTAAATGTGAACATGTGACGTTGAAAAATGCTCTAATTATTGGGTGTCGAACGTGGCATGGTTGTTCATCAAACATTATTTGAAGTTTAGCAGATCATGGTGCAAACTTTGGCACTAAAAGTTCAGCACATGAAATGGTAGAAAGATTGGACATTGGAGACTTCTTCAGAGGAATTGACCCTGACCTGTGTCAATATGCATACCCCTTTCATGAAAGTGGTNCCTTGTATTTTGAGAGGCCTTATTCTGTAAAAGAAGTAGAAAGCAAGTGTTTGATGTTTACAACACATGCATGTAGCAGGGTGCATTTTTGGACTTGACCTTTGGGTGGACTTTAACCAAGTCCAAAAGTCATTCTCAACAGCCTCCATACATTACTTGAGTGTGCAATAGGCCAATTTCAATATATTTACATTCACATCCCTAAACCTGGATGTGATTTCTTTTGTGTTATTCCCCTAAGCCTCGGAGCCAAGTTTGAATTTAAATATATTGAAACTGGCCCATTTAAACATTTTCCCAAGAAACTTCACTTGCTTGTAGGGTAAGTGAAGACAGAATCCACTCGCCTGACTGCAAAATTTCCGTAGCTTGCATCTAAACCTGAACATGTGACGTTGAAAAATGCTCTAATTATTGGGTGTCGAACGTGGCATGATTGGTAATCAAACATTATTTGAAGTTTAGCAGATCATGGTGCAAACTTTTGCGTTAAAAGTTCAGTGCACAAAATGGTAAAAAGAATGGGCATTGGAGACTTCTTCAGAGGAATTGACCCTGACCTGTGTCAATATGCATACCCCTTTCATGAAAGTGGTNTATTTGAATTTCCTTAAACATTTTCCCAAGAAACTTCACTTGCTTGTAGGGTAAGTGAAGACAGAATCCACTCGCCTGACTGCAAAATTTCCGTAGCTTGCATCTAAATGTGAACATGTGACGTTGAAAAATGCTCTAATTATTGGGTGTCGAACGTGGCATGGTTGTTCATCAAACATTATTTGAAGTTTAGCAGATCATGGTGCAAACTTTGGCACTAAAAGTTCAGCACATGAAATGGTAGAAAGATTGGACATTGGAGACTTCTTCAGAGGAATTGACCCTGACCTGTGTCAATATGCATACCCCTTTCATGAAAGTGGTTTTACTTCTATTATAACCATGAATTGAAAATATATTGATTTCGCCCATATTTTTTTATGGTGAACATTTTGAGTGGAAAAGTTTGCATTACGGTCTGTGAAACTTCAAATGTCTGTTGACCAATCATGCCATGTTTGACACCCAATTAAAGCATGCTTTGACATCATGTGTTCATGCTTAGATACAGGTGATGGTATTAGCCTCAGTCTATCAAACAAATTTCTTAGTTCACTCAAGATGTAATCTGCTAAACTCAATGTATTATAATAGAAGATTGTGAAAGGACAGCATCCAAGCCCTTGCCTGTAACAAAGGCTTAGTACATAAAATTCCCAATATCTCCTACACAGTCTCTTACCAGGTAAACATGCATATTAGAGAAAAAAGGTTTTTTGTCACCTTCATTGCAGCCTATAAAAGTGGAACATCTCTATGGAATAGCAGCAGATATCAAGGTAAATAAAAAATTACAAATTTAGAACAAAATTTTTATAAAGAGTTGTAATAAATTTTCTTTTGACTGAGTTCACCTTTCATTAAAATTCAAACACACTAAAAGGTATGTGATGGTGTAAATACTGTTGGTAATTATTGTGCCTGTCCAATATACATGTCTTCATGATGCGCTCTATTTATACTTGCAAGGATGCTTGTATAGTCGATATTCCTACATTTAAAGTTTTTCAACTTTAGGTTGATGAGGCCACATCTTTCAAGACCTCAAAGGGAGCAAGGTATGTTAAGTTCTTGTCCAAAATGTAGCTGTTGTGGGTCAAAATGAAATTCAGGTTAAAATGATTTAACCTGGTTTGATTCTCAATTTCCTTTGTCTTCTAACCCATAATCATTCACGATTCATAAATAATTAGGGTTAAGAGACAAAGGAATTTCATTTTAACATGAATTTCATTTTGAACTAAAACATAGCCATTTGCGCCTATTGTGGATATGGAATAACGTCATGATGATGTTAATTTTTCAACTCTTAGAATGGAGTTCAAAATAAATGGGGTTGACTTTAAGTCCAGGGTTGAAAAAAAAAATCAGTTCAGAATAGAAGGGAATTCAAAATAACCGAGGGATAAATAGCTAATCGTTAGTGACTGAAAAATGAGGTCAAATCCAAGAGATATGGGTTTGAGTACAAATTATGGAGAATTCAGTCGAGAATAATTGAGTTCAAATTAGCAGGTCCAGTCCAAATTCATTCTGTTTCATTTCTTCATTCTGTTTATTTTGCCTTTTTACTTAATGTATTGCAGTATTAATGTACAGTATTAATGTATTGTCAGTAATTATTATTTATAGTAAAGTACTGTGCATAAAGAGAAAACACACCTAAGATGAATAGTAGTTGTCACTGTACATAATATAGAGTAAAGTCCATGAATGATTATCAATTTAAATGAACTTGCTATTAGTGTGTTAATTGAACTTGTATTGTTAACAGCAAAAGTAACAATGTTGGAGGTTCCAGTAAAGTTGAATCATCACTTACAGAGGCATCAAAGGTAACAATCAATACTCTCTTCTCAATTAACATGTTAATTTTTTAAATCATTAATGAAAGTACGTTATGTGTTGACCCCAAAGATGAGACTACTAGCCACACGTCACAGGTGTTTGGGGAATGTGAAAGAACAGCCCATTTATTCACACTGAAGGTGGTCTTGGCAGTAGTCTTGAGACATCTCTGTGCCTGATTTTCCCCTGATGATGTTTTGTATTGAACTCCTGAGAATGAATGGCCTGACAATTTACTTGATGCTTTACAGTTACCACTTCCTTCTCAAAGTGGAATAAGACCTCCAGGGTTTGGTGTCCAGCCTCGTCGACGCCGGACCAGCTCCACATCGTCTGTGTCCTCGACTTCAAGTGCTTTATCGTATCAATCAAATGATCTGAATGAGACTTTTGTCATTACAAAGGGTTCATCCTCTGACATCCCATCTATTCCAAATGTCTGCCCTCGTAAAGTGCCAACCACTAAGGCCAGTTTGAAACCTGTAAACGGGACTAATGCATTGTCAAAACCAACATTTACCAAGCCCAAAGGGCGACCCCAGCCTGTTAAGGCACTTGCACCGCCAGGGATTAGCAAAAAAGCACCTCGGACACCCAGTGACCCTTATAAATCTAGTAAGGTGTTAAGGAGCACCCCTGGGCGTCGACTGAGTGGCATATCCACAGAGCAGGGGGTCAGTAGACCCCAGACACCTAGTAATATTCAGCGATCAAAGTCATTTACCACCCCTGTGAAGCCAAGTACTGCAACTGGGAAAAGAAGCAGTTTTTCAACAGGGCAACCGGTTAAATGTGTACAAACCCCAACCAGAGCAAAAAAATCTGAAGTGCCAGTAACTCCTAGAAGGAGAGGAAGTGCCACACCAAAGGATAGCACCAAGATGGTTCCCACACCTGTGCGCAGACGTAGCAGTGTTGCAAATAAGACAGAACCTGCTGAAGGAAAGAATGCTCCCAGACCTGCCACTCCTGAAAATTTGACCAGTATGTCCAGTGAGACCATAACCCCACCTAATCCAGGTAAATGTAATCAAAATACATGGTCTATGGTCCCCATCTTAATTTTTACAGCCGTGATAAAATTATACAAATAAATATTAAATAATATAAATGGTTACACACCAGGGTTTATCCACAAACTTAGAAATCAAACCTACCTTGTACATACAGCATAATAAATGGTATCACATGAAAGGACAGCTCAATAGCTTTCATTTGAATGGTCACACACTAGGGTTTCACCCACATACTTAAAAGTTAGAATCACCTTGTACAGCATAATAAACAGTACCACATGAAAGTTGAATCATCACTTACAGAGGCATCAAAGGTAACAATCAATATTATTGTTGGTTACTCTCTTCTCAATTAATATCTTAATTTGTTATCATAAATGAAAGTACGTTATGTGTTGACCCCAAAGATGAGACTACTAACCACA